CGCGCCCGCCTTCAAGACGCCGGTGAGACCCGGCGTACCGGCTCCCTCCACCTGTGGTGGCGGCAGCCTCCCGTCTCCCCGGGGCCTCTCTGGGGCTGTTAACCCCTGCGTTTATGGTTTGTCCCCCGCGGTGTTAAATGTGTTCTGTGCTCGATAGGTCCCGTCTCCAAGGCCTTGCCAACCCAATGGAGACAGTGAGGAAGCCCTGCAGAATGAAATCGAAGAGCTGAAGCAGAAGGACCTTGCTCTAGACCAGGAAATCGCACAGTTTTTGTCTGAGTATGTTCTTAGCAAGCTCAGTGAGACCTCAGTGTTTTTCCTTTTAAAAGCAAATGTAGGCCAGGAGTTGGAATTAAGAGCTGATCTGATACTTTGGTGGTTTTATCATGACATTATATGATGTTCACTGCAGTATTTTTGGATTATGGGACCAGTTAAAGGCAGCAAGGAATCATTTTTACTGTTCCTTTGGTAAAGGAAAAAAAAAGAATCAGAACTGGGTTAAGAATAATTTTAACCTCAGATGTTGCTGTAAAGTGGAAGTAAATAATTTTAACTATCGGGATGCTACCACATGTCATGTTACCAAAAATACTTGATTGTGCAGAATTTAAATTGGAGATTGTGATTCTGAGCTGCCCAATTTGGTCCCAGATTAAACAGTTTTCCTTGTTCCATGTGGACGTGAGACTCCTTTGTTTTGTGTTTGAAGTGAGGGTTTGAAGTATTGACCTTTGCATTCAAGAAGCAGGAGTGTTTTCCTGACAAGCAAATGGTCCACAGAACATTTTGACGTGTTGGATGGCACCTACAGGATATAGTTCAGTTGTTTCAATGGGATTCTTTGTGGCTTATTATTATTTGGGATTTTTTCAGTATGGCTTGAGGAAAGAATTGTGGGTGGGTTTTTTTTTGGTTTTTTTTGTTTGTTTGTTTGTTTGTTCGTTTGTTTTTGCCCTGTCTTTAAGCAGGGTAACTTACTCATTTCTCCTTGATTCAGAGAATTATGTTGGATTTTCTTTGAGAAGTTTTGATATGGAGAAAAAAAAATGAGAATCTGTTCCTTTGTAGTTTTCACATTTATGGAAAGTTATAGACATATCTTCTGCTTTCAGGTTCTCTTTTTGGTAATGGCAAGTTCTGGTATCTCACATATCCTTGTTCAACAGCGGTATCACTCGCTGTATAGCAGCAGCAGCTGCTCTGTATCACTTTTTTATAACCTTCCTGAATTTGTTTTTGTAGAGGCTACAGTCTGGAAGAGCTGGAGAAACATATCTCTTTACTCCATGAGTATAATGATATTAAAGATGCTGGACAGATGCTGTTAGGCAAGCTGGGTAAGAAAGGAAATGCTGTTGAAAATTTCTTAGTATTTTCTTCATCTATATAGAAAGAAAAAAGCTTCTACAATTGTTTTTCTTCTCTAGCTGTTATTCGAGGGGTGACCACAAAGCAGCTATACCCTGAGTATGATCTGGAGCTCAGCGACTAGTGTTGATCCTGAAGACCATGGTGTCCTGCAAAGACACCTGTTACTGGCCACTGGATTTTGGTGTTATATCTCTGTAAATCTGATAAAAGAAGGAGTTGAAAGAATGTAGACTCCAAGAGTGCGTATGTTTAACAGCTCTTTTTTGATGTTGTTCTGAAAATGGCAAAATTATCATCCATTTCCCGTGTGTGGAAAACAGTTGTTGGGGATGTGGTATTTTGTATAAATTCAATTTTGTCTATTTCATGCTCAACACTTCTTTATTTCCATGGGAGAGATTATAATTCAAGGTTGAGGCCGAGTCCCTTCCCATTGAGCTTTTGCCTTTCCATGATGCTCTTTGGAAATGCTAATCTGCAGGTGGAAGCAGATTTTAATGCACGGGGGAGGTGAGGCCAGAAGAATATACAATGTAATAGCTGCTTGAAAGAAAAGTGTCTCAGAAGTGGGGAGGAAAGAAGGTTGAAGTAATTTTGTTTGCTTGTTTGAACTACCAGATTGGGTTCTTTGCATTTTTGTACCTCACTGATATGGTAGCTAGAAATTTTGCATCATTTCTGTAGTAAATAAACAGCAAAATGTGACGTATTAAGCTGTCTAGCCTGAATAAAGCAGTTATCATGTTTCTCAGCAATTCCAGTTAAGAGCCAATAAACAGTAAAAGAACTTGGGAACAAATTCTCCAACTGTGTTCTAAGACAACTGTAACATCTATTATTGAGCCGTTGTTCTGAGGGCTCTTAATGGAGACAGTGTTGCTGTATTGGTACCTGTAAGGGGTCAGTGGTGAGTTACTCTTGCTTTTTTTGAAGTGCAGAGTCACTGTGAAAGCGAGCAGCGTCCTAAACGCACAATTATGTTGAGCACGTTAATGTTTCACTGTCAGCCTTTGGGACTGAGGGTGACTGTACATGCTAAATTTGGCTCCTTTCGTGCAGCTCTGGATGATCAACTGTAACGACTGCAGGGCTGTCGTCCCTCCTTCGCTCAGGGCGGGTGTCCCCTCTGCCCATAGTGCTTGGAGATCAGAAAGAGTCATAAAAAGACTGCTGCTAAGAACAGAGAATTATTGTTGTGTGCTCAGTTTTGAGCTGGTTCTGAAGCATCACCGGGAATGGGGAGCATCACTGGGAGGGGATCTAAAGCAGGGAGACAGAGTTTGTCCATTTTGTGATACAGATTCTGTGATGTGCAACTGCTCTTCTCTGAAGAATATTTAACTGTGGCCATGTACAAGGGAACTGGGGATTGTTACAGGTATATTCTTGCCAAGTCTAGAAAGCTCTGGGTTTTTTTTTTTTTTGGAGGAGCTTTAAGGAGGGGAAGAAAGATTACAAGAATGCCACAACTGAGAAATGGTCAGCTTTGTTTTCCAAGCCACCGTTGGTGCTTTGGCTGATATTTCTTTCTATGCAGAAAAGTTAGTTTACCCGGAAACATTCTAACTAAAAATATTAGCTGGGCAATAGTACAAGCAACTGAATTTGTGGGTTTTCTTATTTCAAGGATAAGCATGTATAGAAAGCCATTCATTTTGTGGTAGCTGAGAGCCATATGGCAGGAAATATATTCCACCAGCAAAGTGACTTAAGGTGTTGGAAGTTAAGGACAGGACTGAAGTCTATTTTCTTCTTGCTTTTGTAGGAACATTAGGGATCAAATTGACAGGCATGAAAGTGTTCAGCACAGCTCTTATCTCAGGCATCTGCAATGACTGGTTACACTCGGGTTAGCACAAGCCAACTGGCCATGGAAGGTGCCCTGAGCTTGTCCCTCATCCACAGGGGATGAAAACACTGAACACTGGCCAGCTGAAGTGAGCGCAGACAGGCTGCCCTTGGCAAGCGTTGGTGGCTCTGCCGCTGGCAGCACAACGTGCCACGTGGCGGCAGCTCCGCTCCGCTGCCGCTTTGGCTGCTCTTCGCACTACAGTGCAAGGAGACCTGGAACAACTCAAAGGCTCCAGGGCTGGAGCTAATGACTTCTGGCAGGCTTCAGGGCAGCACTGGAACCTACCACTTAATGCAGTTCCTTCGTCACAGCCCCCTTACTGCTCATCCCAGTCACTCCTTGTACCTTAATGGCTCTGAGGAAAAAAATATGTTTGACTTTACTCAAATCCAGAAGAGGAATAGGTCAAATATCTTCTTGCTCCTAGAAGCTCTCAATGTATTATAAGTAGATCTCCAAGCTCTCTATATAGGTAAAAGATATAATTGCATATATATATAACTGAATATATAAAATATGTTATATATAAAATAATACTGAGTGTAACAACAGCAAATAAGCCTCAGATTTTAATTTATAGAAAAGTGTTACTCTGTTCAGTCTTTTTGTTAAGTCCAATTGATAAATAAGGATCTATAGTACAGATGTATCAGAGTTTTTTGCTGAAGGATGGAAGTCACAAGCCAATGTCTGAATGCAGCTGCATGTATCTCTGAACAAGCTTGGTTCCTAACCCCCCCAAAACATCAAATAGGCAGCACATGCTCTTTGAGTCAATGTATTGAACCAAGAAAGAGCCTCTTTCCCCTTATGTCACTTTTAGATTTGTTTTTATTTCTTGTGTTTTTATCGTATGCATCAGTTCCTATCTCAAGCCTCTTTCACCTGCCTGGGTTGGATATAACAATTTCTTCTCGTTGTTCACCTAAGCTGTGTTTTCCCCTGTACAGCCCTCTTTTGATGAATTTTGGGCTCTTATGTGTCTGAAATCTGAAAGCAAGGCTAATGTTTAGAAAATAGTGTGCTACAAGAACACAAGGAAAATTCATGCAGTAGTTAGTTTATGCTGCTAGTTGCAAACAAGTGCAGTAAAGGGATTGCAGCTCTGTAAGACACTACTTCCTGCTGCTAAAAAATTTGGAGATCGATTTTTTTATAACCCTTAGCAACCTGCTGTTCCCAAAGTCAACATGAGTTTTGGCACAGCAACTCCTGTTAATGAACTGTTTGCAATGCTTTAAAAAAATTTTTACAGCCTGTCAATGAAAAAAAAAAACCCCAACTGATTAAAGTCATCTCAAGAAAAGGGTGGAAGTGAACTGCAGTTAACCTCTTCCCTTCTGCTGTCCATCATTCTGTCAGTGTGGAGCTGCCTCATTGTGTCACAGAGATCACTGATGGATGGTCCCTCCACGAGGGGCCACACGCATGCTCAGCTGTCCGCAGCCTGGGCCATCTCGGCGTCATGAAAATCACTTTTATCCTCAGGAGCCAGGGTTTTCTCTATCTCGGTTTTCACTTTAAGCTGGCAGTCCCAAATCGCATTCTGGATGCTCTGCAGGTTCCAGCGTGTTCTCAGCAGAGCGTCATCCAGGGTGAAGACTCCGTCGCGGATTCTCCGCACTTGGGTGCACACTGCGGATGACTTCAGCTCCAGACCGATCTCGTGAACTATTTTTCGGAGGTACTGCTGAGTCTCATGCAAACAGTGGATTTCTAGAAGGACAGAGAGATTCCTTGAGCAGCAGTAAAGCATTTACACAAACCCAGACCTCGTATGTAAATCCAGACCTCATTTATAGGACACAATGTTGATGAACTAGTCCTTTCAGCACTATTTAAGGACTGCTTAAGATACAGTACAGGTAAGTCATGATTTTCTACTGAATTGCAGATGTCCAACCAATTGCAGATGTCCAACCGTGACCATGTAATATTTTATATATATAGAATATAAAAATATATTTTAGAATATAAAATACTTTAGAATATTTTAGAAAACAAACCCACAGATAGAGGAAAGCAGTACATAGATTGAGGTATTTCAAATGAAATTAAAGCAAGTACCTTATTTAACAAGGCAAATAAGTAGGAGATAAGACTCCAGAAAAGTCCAGGCTAAGCCCTGAACATTACATTAAAATACTGGGATAACAAAAAACTTTCTTCATAGTTCTCACGAACTCATCTTGCTTATGCCACTGATAAGCAACTGAAGTTTATCAATTAATTTGCTGCAGTAAGTACTTGGCCTTCCCTCATTCACACTGCACCAGTCCTACCTAGCTGGAATTCTGGAAGCGCAAACTGGAGGCATCGAATTACTGTGATTATGGGAGGGCTTTTTCCCATGGGGCGAATCAACCCTTTGACAGCCATCTCATAGGCCTCTTGAGTTTTCATATCAATGTTTGAATACCTGGGAAAAGAAAAATAAAAAATAAAAAGGGAGCAAAACAGACATTTAGTACATCTATCCAATTACATTCCAGAGTTCTCTAAACAAAATGAAGCAGAGCTGCAAATGTTATTCTTAAAACTGCCCATGTGTTAAGTTCTGCACATAGTTTAATGCTATGACATATGCAAGCTAAGGCAATGGGAGAGCTGAGTGTGGAAGGAAGATACTTGGCTATGTATGCAAAAGAGAAGAAAAGTGTAGGTCCTAATTTAGTTAATAGCTCAAAATGTAACCAGAGGTTTCAGAATACAATAAAGAAACTAATTTGCAGCTCTTCACCAGAGTACTGAGCACTTAAAGTAATTTCTCTCTGCTTCTGTCTAGGAGGAGTTGTTCCTGTCTAGGTGAAGTCTAGGACTCCAGCCTTTACATACTTCATAGGACAAAATATATATATATATCTCACTGGTTTTAAAGATTAGCAAAGAGCAGTCAGGTCAGCTGCATGTCGCGTCTGGATACCTACATCAATAGGGCCTTATGATTTGTTCCTTGAATGACAGCGAGAATCCGTTCCAGCTTTTCCCTTGTGATATGATCTGCAAATATTAAGGTAGCAACAAAGTTTTACATAGAGGAGAGTGGTTTCTACACACTGTAGCATGCCAAGGACTACAAAAGACTTTTTTTTTTTTTAATTGGGTGAACAATGTTGTTCTATTTTTTCTATAATTCAATGAAAGCTTAAAATCACCATTTCTAGATATGGCTTGCAGGGAGATCCGGATCCCACCCATTCCAGTAGCAAGCACTGTAGTCAGAACTCACATTGGTTTTGTGCAGGGCTGTTTATTTAGCACAGATGGACTATTGGGGCATGCATGAATACAGATTAGAAAGCATTTAAGCCATACCTTTTATCATTGTATCTGATTAAATACTTTGCTTCTGGTTGCATGGTTGCAATGCTGTTTGTTTCATGCTCTAGGTATTTTAAAAACACCCCTTCAGTTTCTTACCAAATGTTGTCTTCTCTATTAGCTTCCCCGTGTCTGAGAAGTCATCTGTGGCCTTACCAAACAGCCCACCAACAGTGTAAACCTTCAAGAAGAAGAAGGAGTGCAGTTTAGGAAAGAAGGACTGAAAGCAATTGCCCGTTCTACTGTGCAGCTGCTGGAAAGCGCAGACTAAGATGATGCTGCAGTAAGAGGGAGCACGGTGCTCCGGACGTAGGGCTGGGTCTAGGTGCTCATGTGAAGGGTGAGATACTGGACCCAGAAAAGTGCAGGCGGGTTTGAGGCTCACAAAGAGAATCACAGTCAACTCTGTGACAGCAACACAACCTCTTCCTCCTCAAATCACTTCCGTGAGGTTCCTTGGTCTCGTCTCAGGCAGTTTAAGATGTACCATGGCTGCACAGAGCGCAAAGTGCCTGGCCTCCAAGGGAATATTTATTATCCCTCATTCACTGCTTGTCCGTGCCCCACGCTTGGGTAACTCACATTAACCTCCTCTTCGCTGCTGCCATTTCTGACAAGTTTGGGGCAGCACGGCAGGAAGGGAGCGGGACTGTCGGAGCGGGTGCGGAGCCAGCACGTACCTTGCTCAGGTGGCAGTTCTGCAGGTCGGTGAGCAGCTTGTTCCCGTGGCCGATGCCAAGCACTGGAACACAGGAGATGGTGACAACCATTGAAAGTCACTGAGCTGGCAGCACCGATCACTTCGGCAACTTTTCCTCCCCCTCCCACAGCAGCAGGGACAAACTCCTGCCTTGGGGGTCACGGCAGGAAAAGGCCCTTAGACCTCCCAGACTGCTGCGCTCAGGGGCACTTGGCTTTTCCCAAGGGAAACCTTGGGCCACCATGAGCCAGGGCCAGAGCGACATACCCATCACGGAGCAATGTAGTCATCACGGAGCAACGTACCCATCACACCCGAGGCCTTGGTGTCCAGCCGGTGCCCTGCG